GATGGGACAAGAGTTGTGCACCGGGTATTGGTTGGGAAACCTGAAGGGGAGACCTAGACGTAGATGGGAGTATAATGTCAGGCGGGATCTATGGGAGATAGGAGTTGAAGGAGACTGGATTTTGTTGGCCCAGGACAGGGTCCGGTGGAGGGCTTTGGTTAATTTGGTGATGAACTTTCGGGTTCCGTAAGCCATCTAGTTAGTAAGTTATTAATTTAAATTATATCGACCTGCCATGTTTGGCCGGCTACAGGTGTTACAACATTCATTTACAAATAAATTGTGTGGGTTTACAGTTACAACATGATGACGGTGACAAACTTGAGAGATTCCGGGCAATGTTTCCGGCCACATTTCATAGTCAGTATTTGTACTAATAAAAATTGTTGTATATCAAATTGTATAATTATTAATTTGTAGTTATTGCTAGTTTCACGACATAGAATAAAGCATTTAGTCTTTAATTAACAACAGATTTCCTTGCTAAGGATTTCGTGTGAAGTCTTCGCGAGAGGAAATGTACAAGCACATACGAGATGCTACCCAAAAGTTTGTAGTATTTGACTTCCACGGGCGAACCGGTTGTGGAATGACCTGCCGCCGCTAGATGGGGCTAGCAGTACCCTTTGTGAATTAGTGTGCCAACAGCCGTGAAGGCGAGAGGCCGCGTTCTTGAGTCTCGTGCGTTTTTGTAACGTTGTGTTGTAGTGGTTCGGCGATTTTTTAAACCTGCATAAATGACAGATTTTAAGGAGCAAAGAATCTTCATGAAATTTTGCTTTAAGCTTAAAAAATAACTGCTGTTCCCCAAAATGAAATTTCTATTGAAAGGCCGTCGTTTTGACACAATTGAGGATATCCAGGCAGAATCGCAGGAGGTGCTTAAACACTCACACTTGAAGACTTCCAGGGATGAATGGAATCATGGAAAAAAAACGCTAGGATCGATGTATCTATGCCCAAGGGGACTACTTCGAAGGAGACGGTGGAATCTAGGAGTTATGATAAGCAATTTCTTTATAGGCAAATTCCCTGAACTTTTGTGTAGCACCTCTTACATAAGCCTTTATATTTTTTTTATTTAGTGTTCTGTCTGACGACAGGTCCATATGAACAGGATCCTTCCATCCTTTTCTCGGACTGGGACCTGTTCATATACGTTCTTGGCAGATGATCCAGAAGGTGTTTGCCATTGCCTTCTTCTGTGTGAATGGAGTAATTGTTGGGACGCCACGCATAAGCCTACGAGATGATTAAAACAAAAAACGATCTAATTTAAAGAGGACGCATAAGTACGGCCGGACAGTCCAGTCTTATCACCGGCTTTCGCTTTGGCGACACTGCTAAATTACTATTCATAAATATTCTTGGGTCTGATTATATTTTATATGATCATGTATGTTCGTAATCAGGGCATGTCTCCCTGGAGCTTAGACCCTGCAGATTGGAGCGGTCACTGGGCAGGAAACAAGAAACAGAGGAATGAATAAATGCGAAACAAACTGTACAGTTTAAAAAGCCACACGGATCGACCAGATATGGAATACTGAAACACGAGAACAACACCACGCGTCTACGTGCTGCGAGTTGCCAGCAAGATGGCTTCTAGCTAGTCAACCACTTCTCATTTTTCATTGTGCAGGCATGAACAGTTGCGTTGATAGTGACATTTCATAAAGCGAGGCACTGTTTCCCACATACGCAATGTTATAATTCGGGGTTATGTTTCCGAACGACCGAAAAATTACAAAACAAATTGATAGGCAGTGTCGGACACTGCCGCAGTTATTTTCGTGAAAACGTCAATCGTGTATAGTATATTGGAATTAAACATTTTTGTAATTCTAATTGTACTTTGCCCTCATATATCGCGACATTTTAAGAAAATCGGGAAATTTTCAAACTTTTTCAAATTCACAGCCTCGTATCTTGTTGAGTTTTTGAGATACACACTTGGAGATTAGGATGAGTTGTAACATATACACTCCTCTTCAAAACAACACTTGGTTCACTCGGATCGGATAATTAGTCTCTGAGATATGATCCCGTTTATGGACACGTGTCGAATTGAAGTTTGAAATTACTTCGACAGAAACTGTCGCTCATTTGGGCGCGATTGCCTCCCCACACCCGGCATCGATTTTAAAGACGTTTTCACGTCAAAAGTCACAATAACAAGTTATGTTTCCTGCAGTCAATCATACAAGTATCAGAATGAACCAAAACTGGTTAAAAATACAACAAAATCTTTCATGAGATACGTAGAACTGGATCCACCGATTATGGCCGCTGACCTTGTAGAGAGAGCCCAGTATGCGGACCACTCAATGAAGGAAGGAAGGAGTTCTGCACTACAGTGCAACATTTTCGTTGCCAGTTGGATTTTGTTCGGAAGACTTCGGATGGCGAGCCGAACGGAGGGTATGAGCTTCACTTTGTAAAAACGAAATTTCGTAGTGCAAAGCCCTTGTGCTTGAGGAGTGCGGAGGGTGAAACCACGATAATGAAATCCGATATCTGTAATGGGCAGCATATACGATCAGCTGACAAAACAGTACCGGTAATCATCTCATTATTATATGTCAGCCATACTATTACAGTTTGAATTTAGCTACTACCGATCACTGTTTTAAGGCAGATTTTTGCGTTGTAGAATAACAACAGGTGGTTTTATGCTCCCTAGTATCGCCACAATAATCGCTACATCGTCGAATTATTTTTGTACGCAGATGTTGGTAAACTGATTCACACACAAGCTCAGGGGTAAATTTGTCAGAGTGGATACCACCAAATTTCCTGCGCAAACTAAACTCAGCGGTCTCTGTAAATTAATACGATTGTACACCAATAAGAGCTACGGGGGCGTAGCCATCTCTTGATTATTATTAATGATGCAAGACTTATAATTAGCTCAATCAATACTTGCAGTCAGGTGGCTAAGGAACAAGAAGCAGATTTAAAAATGCAGCTCTGACCACTGAACAAATGCAATCCAGAGGGCCGTGCGCGGTATGAGGAGTACCCATTACTAATTTCTTAAAATAATAAATTCTTTCATTTACAAATGTTTATCAATTATTATTTTTGTTTGCGAGGTTTTTCATTTTATTCTGCATTGTATTTTCTTCGTAATTTAGTAACACATTAAATAAAGTTATAAATTGAGCTGATATTTATCCTCGTACTTTTTCATTATGCTTCTTTATTATCCGAAATTTTTGATTATCCGACCGTCCTTTCATCCCGTTTAGATCGGACATTTAAGCCTCTACTGCATTACGCACTGCGCCTTAAAAAATTACCGGCCTCGGCAAATAGAATTATAGAAAGTTAACGCGATTTAATTAATGAAATGGAATTTCAGATTCCCAGTACTAAACGTCATGAAAATGTGTTCGCGTTGAGAGTGTCTGGCGCTAGGACAGAAAAAACCCTCATTACACGTTGAACAATGCCAGACGGGTAATAAAAGCCAACGCACGTAATTTAAAAGCGTGCTTTACAATATGAAACGCTTTATGTCTCTACGGAGTATGGTTTCATAAGTTTGTGCGATTAAATATCGCTACTAAATAATTGTGATGATTAGGTTCAGTTCATTTATAGAAGTGAGTTGTGTTTATTAACAGCAATCTACAGTCAACTCCTTACATATATAGGAAATACTCGAAATCCCTCTAAACTAGATTTCCTATGCAAAACGAGAAACTCTTGTCGCTGAATATAGTTTTCTGTTAGCAGTACACAACTATTCACTTCATATTCCATAATTCAATGTTTTGTATCTGCGTACATGTAAGAGCTACACTGAAGTAAATTCTGTGTGCGTTATTGGTAGTTGTCAGGGGTAAATGTGATTATCTGTTTCGTTACGCTACAAGAAGCTCACACCAGTTAGAAATCCCAAATTCGTAACACGTGAAACACTTCAATTTAAAATATACGTTTTTCTATAACGACAGGTTTAACACTGTAATGAACACAGTTTTTAATCGGGAAGTATTCGGTTCGAATGTCGTCGAGACATTATATTTTGACAGATTTGTCATGATTTTCCTCACTCCTTCCAAGTGAATACAGTAATAAGATTTTGAAATTGTTCACGACCGCTTCCTCTTCAGTCCTCTCAATTTCACCGAAGCTAATCCATCTCCCGTATCGTCTGACGCTAACAAACCTCCGCAGCTGGTACAGCGCCGGAGCGCCAGCTATTAATACACAGGTTCTTCGACGTTTTCCTCAGTCCTTCCACTAAAAGCAGATATCACTTTAGTGCCTTGGAACAGGGTAAAACCGCTACCTTCCTTATCCTTTTCAGTTCGCCGTAAATACTAATTTTTTCGTCTCATTTTAATAAGAACCTATATTTCGAATCAAGAAATGCATCGAATATGTTATTAAAATGGAATAAAATCTGGAAAAGAACATCGTTTAATATCTGATAAACATCTGATAAAAATGTACGCTAAAATAATATATAGAAATTGTATTTAAGAAATTGTATTTAAGTTATTATTGATTTGAATCTTTATATAATTATATACACCTGAAGATAGTTCTTTTAGGAACTGAAACATGTCGTGAAAAATAATTTTTTAATGTAAATCGAATATTTCGATAAAGAACATCATTTAATATTTTAAATGTTAATTATTGTAATATTTTAATATTTAATAAGAATTTATTGTGATTAGACGGACAATAATATATATTTATTATAAGAAATACAATAAAATACTAGGTAAAATTTAATAGGTGGAATATTTTTATGTTTATATTATTAGTACATAGCAAAATCTGTTTGGTAGCTCTTCAGTGCTTCTGTCCGCATTTTCACTGTTGCAATAATAATTTCTGTCACGAAAAAGCATCATATACGCTGAAAATGGCGAGGAGGAAGAAGGGATAGACATAGATAGAAGAGAAAGAAACGAAGTAGACAGAACGAGAAAAGACAAAAAATAAAATAAAAATGTCTATCAAGTAAGAGGTCATTTGGTGGATTTCATAGGTTAATACCACTGTCCCATCGGTCAGCACACGCACTGCACAGGTCAAGTTGGCAATGGAAATTTCTTCAACTGTCGCCAATTTTCTGTTATCACAGAAAATTAAATTATTAGAAGTTGCGAAGATTCCGAAAGCCTGTCGCCTCAGCCGACATCACGAGTGTTGTCTCAACCCTCAAGTTTAAACTCCGCCATGTTTGTATTACTGCCTACAGAAAACTGGAAGTGTCCTTTTGACTTTAGCACGTTGTACGCGCCAACTTTACAAAAATCAATTAACGTCTTTGAAGTGTAAACTTTAATCAGACAGGCATTTCATTTACAGAGTTACAAAGCAAAAACTGGGTCATGTGCGTTGTAGCCAATTTTAGGAGCATGGAATTATTTTCCGAATATTAAGGTCTAACTACAGCTAAAGATATTTACATTTTCAGGAAATTGATGTATAAAGAACATATTTTATTTTGCTCTCCTTCCTGGTAAACGTTTGCAGAAAGCTTTCAAAAGTTTGTCGAAACCCTGGGGTGACGTGAATATTTTACGTACGCGTTGCTTTTGCTTCGGAATACAACACATTTTGAAACGCATCAATGGCACAATGAATATCATTCATAAACAATATGAGCCAGCAGAGAAACCAACGCCTGGCTAGTCTGTGATCAGTGTGTTGTGCGTGTAGTATGTGTGCAAGGGGTGCCGATGCTCACGTGTCATTCTGTAGTCATTCCATGAAAAATGGTAACATGAGTAGTGTAAACTGTGTATACCAGATTCAAACATTCCCTAGCCTGTGTTTGTAGATGATAATGAGGAGGCAGTACGTAATTTGATATTCTTATTTGAGTATCGACCGTAAAACTGTTTAAAACGCTTTGGGGGGGGGGGGGGGCTCGAGAACGGATAAACGAATTTGGACAAAACTTAGCACGCTCATTTCCTGAGGCCGAAAAGATAACATAGAAAATTCAAAACGAAGCACGACAGAAGAAAGACGCAATGAACAAAATTCTTTACTTCACCCAATATATTGAAAGAAATAAGGTCACAAACCCGAAAGAATTCCTTGGTTCAAGACTCGGTGACGACGTTGGATAGTTAATAATAATTTTTCTTTTATGACATTCAACAATACGTACAAAATTATCACGCCTATCATTAGCATAAGGACAATAAAAATCAATGAGAAATGCAAGTATTTCTCGAATTTCCCAGCAGTAACACTGATCACATGAAACTAGTATGGCACATACGTGTCTAAACCACTGTGCAAATAACTTAATCCTGGTCCGTTCCCTCTGATATATCATGTTAACTTTTGGGATCGAATCTGGAACCTTTCGAATACGAGGCCAACCGCGGAATTCCCCGACTATTCACAAAGACCAAAATTCAAATTATTCTTACTATTGCCTTGATAACGTCACCCAACCAGAGCGTTGAAGGTCTTCATGTGAAGTGATGGTTACTGTTGGTAGATTTAAAGCATAATCAAAGTGAGTGGAAAGCTTTCCGTAAGACTCCCAAATATCATGTTTGTGCGACCTCCGCTACTACCGAACTCCCTTCTCTCGGCTTACACATCGCCCAATTAGGTGCCACCACTAATCACGCGACTTATAGCTCCATGACTGATGTATCTCTCGCCCCTGTCCTATATACGTTCCTCACATTCCACGTTCCAATTTTCAGATCATTTAAATGTCGCCTGGGTCGTAAATCCATACATTCCATCCTATTCCGAGGCTTTGCTGTTTGTTTTCGTAACATAAAACATTTTTACGGTAAACGGTTGTTAGCCCTACGCCCAACCCCCAGACTGGAGGACCATCCTTTATAGGCTGCCCGCGACTACTTCTTCAATATATTCGCAGCTAATTTACATAACTGGAAGCTGAGGACGCGCCATGCTGTGTTGACACGGACCCACCTGACATGGTTTATCTGCTTATTATTATTCTGTTTGTTTATACGTGTGTATCAGTCTACAACGTTACGTACGTTAATTTTTTAATACAACAAACTAACGTATAAATTTTAAAATTATCACTCATCTTTGCTTGATTACGAAAATTGCGAAGCTTTAGCACATAAAACATCTGTTTTTCTGCGTAGAAGTGTAAGCACATAGTAGATAACGGAAAAATTCAGTCTTCTGTTTCACAGCAGTGTTTCCATAAAGTAGCGAACAGAAATTAAAATTTAATAATACTGCGTAACAAAAAATTAATATAATTACTTATATTTGTTTAATTAAAGAATATAAAACAATTTCACGCTATGTTCTCAAACATAACATTATGTTGAGGTTATAATAATACACACTTCATGAACATTATCCCATAAGGTCTAAAATCCCTTAACAGTAAATTATCGCCAGCCAAGCTGCCAACACTTCATCTACATATAAATTAATATCAGTTTTACCCCAAATGTATTAAAACAGTATTACAACTGTCTTTTGCAATGTTTTTAACAGATCTTTTGCCGGTCCAGTGTGAAGCTTGGAATAATGATCGTTGTGGTTAGGTTATCGATACGCGGCTTACATATCGAGGTGTAGAGAATTGGAACAGCGAATACAGTTCTAGCAGATTACAGTTCGAGTAGAGTAGAATGCCGGGAAAAATTATGACAAGTTGACAGAGACTAGCAGAAATACGTGACATGTCCGACGCGACTCCGGAAAGCCGCAGTTTAAAAGCAAGTGCCTGGGATGCCACACCCCATGATGTCGATACGCAATATGATGCAGCAACCCGTAACGAGCCATGTGGTTCTAGAACCATCTAACAAGACAGAGTGGTGTCGACCTCCGCCCTTTCCGAATTTCAAGCAGCATAAAATCTCAGCTTGCGACCTCGCTGTTAGAAACATGTTTCAATCAAAATACGACCCGCTTATCATTCATTAAATATTCAGCAGACATTCTGTCTCCCTGCCTGCGAGTATTAAACATTCAATTAGTCTATCATATACATAATTATATTAAGATTTCTGTCTTCTGGTTTGTTGTGCCGTGTAGTATGGTAGATGTTTACCAACGTTTCGGAGGCATACTCTCGTTTTAAATATATATCTCACTTAAATAAAAATTTAAAATTAGAATATTAGCAACGAAACGAAAAATGTTAACTGGTCACGACTTTCACTAGATCCTATTACCATACATCAGTATTATGTTTTACTGGGGATATTGGGAACGACCCGTTCTTCAAGTGCCTGAGCACTGCGGATCCCAACTTTTCGTTGGCTCGATCTATAGACATTAGGTAGGACTCCTTGGACGAGGGATCGGCCCGTCGCAAGGCTTCTACCTGTACACAGAAAAACGCGGACAAACATCCATGCCTTGAGTGGGATTCGAACCCACGGTCCCAGTGACCAAGCGGCACAAGGCCCACGCCTCAGACCGCGCGACCACTGCGGACCCCTGTATTATATATTAACCCACGAAATTTATTACGTCCGTTCACGAAAAGTTCTAAGACACCACAAATATTGGGGGAGTTTCACTGCTGGTGCACGATGTGAATTAGACTTTCCACTATCAGGATCCATTTTACACTATATAGTTATCTTCATAGAGCAAGCAATACTGACAGATTAATTGAAAGTTCAATAAATGATTTACCTATGTATAAACCATTAACATACATGAGTAAAATTCCATATTTTTTCCCATTAACTTGTGCAGCGTTCAGTTTAACGGAGACATCTAATATAGCTATTCATAATACCGGTGTTTAAATATTCATTCAGATTATATAAAGCTCTTGTGTACGATAATTCTACAACAGCGACTAGCCTGAAATGATATGTTCGCCGGTTAATTTCCTTCATCATGATTTAATCACATTTTACGTAAAGAATAATTTTTGTGCTGATCCTAAGCATTTGTTCGTTACTTTTTTTGGGGGGGGGGGGGATTGGAGTTCATGGTTTTGGAATTATTTCTAATTATGAATTGTTATTTATGTGGTTTAACCGACTGAAACCTAAATACATAATTTTTGTACCGGTGGTATATTAGCCGTCACCAAATTGCAAAAGGAATATTATAGATTTTTTGCTCATAAGAAAATAAACTTTAGCAGGAATAATGATAAAAGGCCTACAGCCATAACTCTGCTTCTTGGTTTCTATCCAGCCTAGTGATATTTCACAAAGCATATAATGATTCGATCTCCACAGCCTCGTTTGTGAGAATGGGGTACAGAGACTGAAGTTTATGTCGACGTTTGCCAAAGAGACACGGTCCAATCCTCTCACATCTCTGTTAAAGCTGATTCAACGTTGACGGTTTGAAGAAACTACAAGTAACTATACCGTCATAGAGCTTTTAGCGAATAATAAAAGCTCTGAAGAGTTCAAGGACTGAAGATAAAAACAATTTAAGATAAATCGGCTTGATAAATGTAGTACTCACGTCACAAGGACGAAATGAAATTATTTAATCTTCAGTGTTTCCGCCTTGATCTTGGAAGTTAACGGCCCTAAGGCCAGAGGATTTCTTCCTTTACTCTCTCCCGATAGAGGAAGAAGCGACGAGGCGTTGCTAGGAGACCACGTGCTGCAAAGGGAGAAGCAGAAAACAGTGAGTGTGGGTTTATGAAACACAGATTCCCCTTTATTTCTTTACATCTCGTGGAATAGTGTTGTGGATCCGTCACAGAGGACAGGGGAAGGGTTAGTCCCTAATCCAAGTGGGCACTGCGACTAGAATGAGAATTTGTGACGCCTCAGGGTAATATTTGGGCGTTGGCCAAAGGATGAAAGAGTTGAGGAAACTAGGACGATAAAGAATTTTCATCCAGTGTTATTTTTACAGTGAAAAGTCAAGGAGCATGAAATGGACGAGACATGTGGGACATATGTGAGAGACACACAATATTTTAGTCGAAAAACGTTATTAAAAATGAAAAAAGAAGTTCAGAAATTTAAAGTTTGGTGTAAGGAACTGGGCTGGATTCAAGTGGCACAAGATAAGGTCTCTGGTGGGCCCTTCTAAACACGGCAATGAATGTCACAGTTCCATTAAAGCAACGGATTAGTCTGTTCTTCCAAAAACTCGATTCCCGTTAGAGTCGACTGCTGTCCAGAACAGTCTGCAGCATTACTTTGCTGTCCTCTGACTCCTAACTCACAATCTCAGAATTAACTCCGGTTCTCAAACGTATTACCACATGAAACTTATTCTTTCGCAAATTTCACGACTTTTCACAACCCGTGACTACAAAAATCGGTTCACAGATACTTACTTCTCTGGTGCATTCTATCATTAAAGCAGTAAGTTGTACGAAATGCATCACAGTAAAACGTCTATCGCTTCTCGTTCGCATTGTTCATATACTGTCCATTGCTGCCAACATCACTTTTGAGGAAAATTAAAATTGAAGATGACTATCTTCTGGGATGTTGCGTCGTGCAATCTGGCAGAATTTTTGTGACGTTTCAATGGTGCTTACTGTTACCTTCATCAGGACGATGATAAATATCATACTGATGTTAGAATTTACAAGCATCGCTAATTGTCGGTAACCGTCTATCTATCTACACGGCGCAACATCCCAGAAAAGTCATAATACTCGCTGTCGTGAGAACATGAAATCTCACGAATTAAAACTCTCATTAGTCTAAAGTGAAGATTTCGCGGCGACCGAAGTTGATGAAAGGCTCTCGGGCAACAAACAGAGTCAGGTGGCTGAATGACACTGCTTGTTGCCCTAGAGTCTATCAATTCCTTGGCCTCTTTTAACTTTCCCGTTGCATCCCTCTCTAATACAAAGCTGGATGGCACTGTCTTTGATGTTCGGGATCGGTTCGCTCGGTCATCGGTTGAAATTCCATTAGCGTAATATGTGTGTGTATATACGTTCTCATCATTAAAATATATCTAACCTATATCACATATCTCCATTGTGAGTCTTTGTCATGGGCTGTGCCTTCCTGCATGTAAAAATTCAGTACAATGTGGGCTCCATTCGGTGGTAGAATTGACTAAGCTGTTTATGCGGGCGACTGGGCAATCTGAAACATACACCATTTTGGAAAACCAACTCGAAACAAGACACGAAACTGTCACACATATTGCATCTGTTAATAACATTCTTGGCGTTCGACGTTAAAGTTTGGAGATGCTTTATCCAAAATTAAATATACGTCATCAAATTAGGATAAGGCCTAAAAATGAGATTGGTTCTGATAGCTTTGAATATTCTGGCGTTGTTCTTCTGGATAATAACGTGGTATGGATTTGAGCCCTGAATAAGGCAGTGCGTTTCTCCGAATCGTTGGTATCTATCTAAATTCAACATGGCGTTACTACCCAGAACACTAACATCTACAAATTAGGATCTCTTCACTATTTTATTGATTGTGAAGTTGGTTCGATCGGTAATATATTCGTAGTTTGTTGCAAAGAGTTATTATTTTTTTTCCTGAATGATCTCTATTCCCCTAAATCGTCTGCACCCGGGGCAGTTGTCCAGCTCCTGACAAGCTGACAGTCACTTAGCTAGTCATATCCACCCTTCACGAATCTCAAAGTAACAATACCGTGTTCACAGAGGCCCCCGTTCTTAGCCAGATGAATCCAATGCGCACCCTCGCAATCCATTCTTTTTTTAGATTTTAAGTGTTGTAAATTTGTCTATTCCTTGATCTTCAAGTTTTGTATTTCTTCCCTTCAGGTGTTACGATCTGTCCCACATCTGTTCGACACCTACCGCAGAATCATGAGCTGCAGGAAGGAATCTCTGTGTCCTCTGTCCAGCGATCTCACAGCGACTGACAGACGAACAAGCGACGACTTCGCAACCAATGGCTCTGGTGTCGGCGTCTACCCGTTCGCCTTGGTACTGAGGCTACGCGTTCTTCAGGTTGTGTGTGGCATCTCGGCTCTGGTGATGGGTACAGTCGCACTCATTGAGGAACGGGGTGAACTTAACCTTGCGGTCGCTGTACCTGCAGGATGCGCCACGGTCCTCGCTGCAGGTATGTAGCAACGGAACGACCTGCTGTGGTTTGTTCGTAGGGCATAACATATGCACGTTTCCTGTTATACCCAAATCTATTATTACAGGTGCAAGCATCCACACGAGTCGTGGATTCAGCGGCTACAAGCCTTCAACGTGTGGATCAAGTTCTTCACTGAGATTTTTGGGTCCGTCCGCACGCGTGGCTGTTCCCCTTGTTATCCTGTGGGCTGTGGCATGTTCCTTGCATGCAGCACTTGTCTTCCAGGCCACTTGGACACTTGCGGGGAAAAGGTGAGATGAAGAGAACTGACATCTCTTATGAGGCGTGATGCAAAACATATATGGGATTCGAAAGCAAAAGTTTTGATATAGTTCAACAGTCTGTCGGTTGACTGGACCGCTGGGCTTGTTCTGGTTTCAAATCATCTCCTGATTTGTTTTTCCTATGCTTCTCTTAACTTCAGAATTGTATGCTATATTCACTTCGGTATTGTTACTCGATTATTCTTACATACTGTTTCCTCTTAATTTGGCAATTCTATATAAATGAGATGCATAACTGAATCACCAGAAATAATCAAATCGAATATGTTGATTCTCTGATGACTCTTATGTTAAATATACAGCTGTTATTTCTGTAATAGATGCCATACTGGCATAACATAACGGTATAAGGCAGGGGTGGGGAACCTGTGGCCTTCTAGGTCCTTAAGTGCGGCCTTTCGACTGAATCTAAATTTTACAAAACAAATCCTTTTATTTTTATTAATACATGCTGCAACCAAATATTCAAATGCTTTCCAACAAAAATCAGACACAACAAAGTCATTAAAAGATTTGTTAACGTTAAAATTAACAAATAGTTTTCATTTTTGTAATTATTAAGTACATAGTAGTTAGATTTTTACAAAATAATGTATATTTTTAAGTGTATCTAATTGAAGTTTCTTGAATGCGGCCTTATTTGTTTACAGCTAAATTAATGCGGACTTTCAACATGAAAAGTTTCCCCACCCCTGGTATAAGGTAAAACGTAGGCCTATATGAGTATCTGAGATTTACGAGGTATATTACGAAAATGTTAAGGTAGTGTCACTAAATTTCCGTCTTCTGGGTTGTTGCGCTGTGTAGTCTGGTCGATGTTAACCAACGTTTCAGAGGTCATACTGCCTCCGTCATCAGGGCGATGACGGAGGCACTATGACCTCTGAAACGTTGGTGGACATCTACCAGACTACCAGACTCGTACATGGTGCAACAACCCAGAAGACAGAAATCTTCATACTCACCGCTGTGAGAACCTCAAGTCTTACGTAGTGTCACTAGATTCAATGAGAGGTCCCACCTATACCACTCTCAATATTTACTATTAAATGATATAGCAAAGTTACTGCGCTAACTTATACAGACACTGAAATCTCTTTTTCTTTCTCACGGGGGTAAGCCTATCGGAATGAAACGTGATATGGCTTCCAGCTCCAACTGAAAACAGATTCTTAGCAATGGGGCACTGGCATTGATGTTACCAGACGTTGTGTTTACGCTAGGCGTCTTCCTTCATGTCCACCAGGCGAGCGACACCAAATCACGGACACGTGTTTTAGAAGAAAAATTTAAAAAGAAGATTGTCTTCTAGGATGAAGCACTGTGTAATCGGATACGTATTAAGCGACGTACCAGAGGAGCTTTCTGCCTCAATCATCAGGGTTCTGTGCGGTGTTAACATACCAGCAGCCGTCTTCATAATCATCAATATGAATCAGAGACGTGGGCCTATCTATTCGCAAAAGATGAGAGAACAGATTTTGTTGCTAAACCATCCGAAGCAGTAAATTAATCTAATAACATGTATTTATCCATTGCTTCCTTCAAAGAATTATAACGCGTCTCCATTACAAAAGAAATTGGTTAATAATATTTGAAGAAATAATCTCTTACATTCTGAGAAACATACAGAACATTTAAATATATTCTGTTGGAAAATTTCAGAGTTATTGAATATTTAAGTACATGGTACATATATCTGCTGCTGTGTTTAGAAAGGCCTGATACATTTAGGGAAAACGTTCTGCCAATGAAAAGCTTCATTCGCGAAAATGGACAGACAAAGACAAACTCACATTTCAGTATCGTAACTGTAAGGAAGTAAAATTAATGGACCGTGAAGGGAGCAGATTTGAACTTGTGCGAAGTAAAACCATTTCAAAGCTTTGTACAGTCACTGTTCAAAGAGGCAGGCCTTTAGGGAACATGTAATAAAATAGCGTAATTATAGAAACGTGGCAGAATGTAGTTTCTATTTCACACAATAGGGCTCGTAGAACAGGGCTGAATAATATTTTCAGAGTGCGGTCCACATTAAAAAATGCGGATCAGTTTTAAGTTTGATGGGGATTTTGGTTATATTGTTTAGAATTACATTTACAGCAACAGAGGACACTACTCGTACTTGCCAGTCACCAGCCCACAGACATCCACTTTGATGACAGACATCTTAAATCACTTTGCGGACGTTCTCTTAAAAAGTATTATCCTTGGTTCTAATGTGAAATGCTTTATTTTATGAACACAAAAAAAATATACGTAGTAATGACATGTCTACAAGTCTGAGAATGTCGTGGTAGAATTTGTAAAATTTCACAAGAAATGTGTTCAGGGAGTTTGATAATGTTTCTTCACTGTATAAAGTATATTGAAGTAATTTGTATAGTGGTATTTGATAATTCCCGATTCTGTAGCGGTCGTGAAACATGCCTAGTTGCGCAGATTGTATACCTTTGTGATTAAATATTAAAATGTAACACGTATTTACTCTTTACTTTGCAGAAGCAAAGCTCTCATATTTCTTCCGCGGTTTTATTCAAATAAATTTATCTACTGAAATGAAACCACACGTATGAAATCCTATCCGGCTCTACCGAAACTGTATAATTCCCATTATCTTATACACGCGACCTGTAAAGCCGTGTATCGACTGCGCGCGGCTGCCGCTCGCAGCTGTTCGTGCGCGGCAAACTCGTTCGTTCGTTCGTTTATTGTTTAAAACCGTGTTCGTGGTTACCAGCATCGAGCGCGGCAGCCGTGTTCGGCTGT